TAAGTCAAGTAAATTGCAAAGGATTAATGAATTAAATCCTACCTATTTTGGTTTGCAATATCCATTGTTGTCCCCGTACGGTGAGGACGGTTATCGCGAGGATGCGATGTTGACGAGGTGTAGTGGTGTTTCTGCAGGCGGCAGAAAAAGGGCGAGTGTGAGAGAGTTTCTTGCATATCGTGTGCATGAGCGTTGTGATAATCATTCATATATGCTGAAAGCGAAAAGACTATTCCAACAATTCGTTGTTGACGGTTACACCTTGGTTGAGTCTGCGAGGTTGAAATTTGTTAGAACACATCAGCAAGAACTGCGTTGTGAAATGTATAAAGGTTTGAATGATGCCTTCTTACGTGGAGAGAATGAATCACGTACACAGGGCAAGAGAATAATGTTGCCTCCAACATTTACCGGGGGAGCAAGATTTATGATCTAAAATTATCAGGACGCAATGGCTATTTGCAGGTGGGCAGGTTATCCGGATTTATTCATCACCTTTACATGTAATCCGAGATGGCCGGAGATAGATCAATTTCTCAATGCAAAGAATTTGAAATCTGAAGATCGATCGGATGTGATCAGTCGCGTGTTCAAGATAAAGCTTGACGGATTAATCAAAGATTTTCGTAAAAATAAAGCATTTGGAAATGTTAGAGGAGGTAGTGCTATTTTTGTTTTTCCTCTAACGTACGTCTTATAAATGGTTAGCTGACTTAATTTGTTTCTTATGCAGTTGTATACACTATTGAATTTAAAAAACGTGGGTTACCTCATGCCCATATTTTAATGTGGTTGTGTAGCGCGGAGCCGCGGATAAATTACCTTCACCAGATGATATAGATAAGGTAATATCTGCAGAAATTCCAGATGCTATCAGTGACCCAGTGTATTATGCAACGGTGACAGACTTTATGATGCATGGGTCGTGCGGTCGTGATTTCAAGACCGCTCCTTGCATGGTTGACGGCAAGTGTGCCAAACATTTTCCTAAAAAATGGTGTACAGAAACAACTATCGACGATGACGGTTATCCTATGTATAGGCGTAGAAAGAATGGCCGTAAAGTTTGTAAGAATAAAATCGAATTGGATAACAGGTTTGTTGTTCCGCACAGCCGATATTTATTGATGAAATATGGAGCGCATATGAATGTTGAATGGTGTAATCAATCCAGGTCCATCAAATATTTGTTTAAGTAAATTAACAAAGGACGTGATCGAGTTACTGCGGGGTTCTTTCAAGTAAATCAAGCAGACACACACCAAAAACCACTTGATGAGATACAAATGTACTATGATTGTAGATACATTTCTGCTTGCGAGGCTGCTTGACGTGTTTTTGGATTTGAGATTCAATATAAAAAACCAACGGTTGAACGATTGAGCTTTCATTTGTCTGAGGAACATAGTGTTGTCTTTCACGATGATCAACCGTTAGATGAAGTTGTTAGGACCTCTTCAGTGAAGCAGAATATGTTTACCGCATGGATGGAGGCTAACAAGAAGTATCCGAGGGCAAGATTGTTAACATATGCAGAGTTTCCTCAAAAAATTGTTTGAAAAAAAAATAAGAGAATGGGCTCCCAGAAAACAGGCTTTTGCAATTGGTAGAATCTATTGCGTACATCCCGGAAGCGGAGAATCATATTACATTAGATGCCTTTTGAATCACATCCATGGTACAACATCTCACCAGGATTTGAGAACGGTTAACAATATTGTTCATGCTTCTTTTCGAGATGCCTGCTACGCGTTGGGATTGCTTGACGATGATAAATAATTCACCGATGCATTCGAGGAGGCAAGTTATTTCTCATCTGCCTCTTCTTTGAGAATTTTATTTGTAATTTTGTTATGGACAAAGTCAATGGCTCAACCAGAGTGTGTTTGGAAAAAATGTTGGACCTTCATGGCTGATGATATACAATACACGCGAAGGTGAATATTACAGCATCCAGGTTGTGGTTTCTACACGTTTTGTCCTTGCATTTTGTTTTATTCGCCTTCTTAATTTTTTATATGATTGTATGACTTTTTAATTTTTTTGGATTCGCGTGTTGTTCTTTTTCTCAGAATTGACTTTGTCAGACGAGCAATTGGAAAAACTCGCTTTGGAGGAAGTAGAGAGATTGTTACAAAGTCGTGGTAAGAGTTTGCGTGATTACCCACCAATGCCTACTGTTACGCTGGATTCACTACTGTCCTCTAATGATAGACTCATCTATGAGGAACTACGTTATGATCGACTTGCAATGAGTGAAGAACATTCTACTTTGTTCAAATCTCTTACAGATGAGCAACTAAGAGTATATGAGACCATAATGCAATCTGTTGAGAAAAAAGTTGGCGACATTTTTTTGTGTGTATGGTTACGGATCGGAGGTTCAGGAAAGACTTTTGTATGGAAGACCCTCTCTGTTGCCATCAGGAGTAGAGGTGAAATTGTTCTTAATGTCGCCTCAAGTGGTATCACATCTCTTCTTTTGCCGAGTGGACGTACAACTCACTCCAGATTTGCAATACCTATAAGTTTAAATGAGGATTCCACCTGTAATATTAAGCAGGGCAGTCCACTGGCAAAACTTATTGTACGTTGTAAACTTATAATATGGGATGAAGCACCGATGCTACATAAGTTTTTTTTTTGACGCGTTGGACCACAGTATGAGGGACATCATGCAAAATTTCATAGACTTAATAGTGGCTCTCTTCCTTACGGTGAGAAAACAATCATATTTGGTGGGGATTTTCGTCAGGTGCTACCGGTAATACCTCATGGAAACAGACAAGATGTTGTCAATGCCACGATTAATGCATCGTACCTATGGTCTGAATGCACAGTGCTTTGCTTGACAAAAAACATGCGATTGCAAAACATGACTAATCCAGCCGATTCTTACGATTTGAAGGTATTTTCAGAATGGATTGCTGGCATTGGTGACGGTGTTGCAGGAGAAAGTAATGATGGTCATGTTAGTATCACTATCCCGGAAGATCTATTAATACACACAAGTGGAGATCCTATAGCAGCAATTGTTGAAAGCATCTTCCCGGAGTATGTTGAATCTGCAGAAAATATGAGTTGTTTGCGCGACCGTGCTATTTTGGCACCTACACTTGCTGTTGTTGAGGCTATTAATGATTATATGACCGGTCTTAATGTTCATCAAGTATCAAGAACGTATCTTAGTTCTGACACTGTTTCTAAGATAGATTCTACGACTGACCTGATGGCTGAATTGCACACACCGGAATTCTTGAATAGTATAAAACTATCTGGTGTGCCGAATCATGAACTAACGCTAAAGGTTGGGACTCCTGTCATGCTATTGCGCAACATAGATCATTCGATGGGGCTGTGCAACAGAACCCGTCTTATTTTAACGAGGCTCGGTGATCATGTTTTGGAAGGAAGAATTTTAACCGGTGTCAATGCTGGACAAATAGTTTTAATTCCAAGGTTGTCATTGACCCCCTCCGATGCTACTTTGCCGTTCAAGTTTCAGAGAAGATAGTATCCCATAATGGCTTCATATGCCATGACAATAAATAAAAGCCAAGGTCAATCTTTGTCCCGCGTAGGGTTGCTGTTGAAGAAACATGTTTTTACCCACGAACAATTGTATGTTGCAGTTTTCTAGGGTGACCAACTGTTGCTGACACACAAAATGTTGTGTACAAAGAAGTTTTCAACAACGTCTGATAGAATTGCATCGAATAAAGTTGTACACTTACACAATGTAATAGCATCGATGATTGTTGTGGATTTTCCCATTCTTTTTCCAGATGTTTAATGCTCTCTTCATAATTATAATTTTAAAAGTCTGCTCATTGTTTAGAGATTTTTCCAGTTATCTTAGCCTAAGTGCATGATTAAATGTTTCATATTGCTACGACAAATATGATATCCCGAACTTTTATGCGTTTTATTGTTTGCCTCTACGCATATATGAAAATAAAATTGTTCAACCGTGCATCACACGGGTGAATTACTAGTTCTTTAGTAACAAGATTGTGTTATATCATTTTTTCAAAAAACAAAAAAGAGTTATACTCCGTACCATAATAATAATTTCATTTTGATATTAACAAATAAAGAAAATATAAAATAAACACATTCATTTATAACTCAAAATCCTAGAAAAGTATCCCAAGATTATACAAAAAAAGGATATGCAATATCGGGGGGATTGGTATACAAAAAAGTTTATCTCTTCATTTTAGCTATTTTCATATAATTCTTTCTTTATTTTTTTAATAAAATATATTTTAATTGTTTTTTTCATAAATCAGCAGAATCAGTCAATCCACCCAGTTCAGCAAGAGCTTCATAACTTTAGATACTGTTTGGTAACACTGAAATTGGTTGAATCGTTTGATTCTGTTGAGATCTGTTAAGTTGTGGTTGAAGTAGCTGAATTGGCTGATTATGCTGATTTATAAAAAAAATCAAATAATTTTAAAGAATAAAGTAAAGAAAAAATTATATGAAAAATATCTACAATGATCTTCTAGAGTAACTTCAGTCAATACAGTCAGAAAAATAGTTCTAACCTTACATTTTCTTATTATCACACAATTAGCGCACGAAATCAAAAGTTAAGTTCTTGGTAAAAAGATTGATTGATAAACATGATAAATCGAAAAACTAAGTCACAAAATGAGCTCTCAATAAGAGCCCGCTTGGTAATTTAGTTTTTCTGCTTACAAGACATCATCTAACTTTTTCATTAAACATGTAATTTTTTATTGTGTGCATTATGTAATAATAAGAAAAAGTAAGGTTCAAGTTACTTTTCTGACTTAATTGACTTGAAGTTACGGTAGAAGACAAATTTAACTATTTTTTCATATACCGTATTTTTTTCCCTTTTATTTTATTAATAAAAATAAATTAGACAATAAATTTTAGAAGAACCAAACGGGTTCTATATCAATTATTACTCCGTATTATCATTACAAAAATAAAGAGAGTATGAATAAAATTCCTTTGGGAATACCATGCAAACAACCGCAGTAGCTAGGAGCATAGATTCATTATTACACAACCGCGATCATTTGGGGCTCTTCCTTGCTGTCTCTGTTTTCTATCTCCAGTTCTGCAAAATCGATCGGTGATCACCATTGTCTAGCCTCATCGCAACTCGCAACCGCCGGCTTTTGCAGAATAAACTCTCCGTTCTAAGTCAAAGTCGTTTTCAATAACATGAAAGGTTCAAAACAGCAGCTTATTGACACACTGACCTCCCACATTTCTCTGTACCAGTCACACTCATCATCCCCTCCTACATGTCCTAACCCTAGATCATCAATTTTAAAATGGTTCTCATCCCTCACAGTTCATCAAAGGCAAGCTCATCTCACCATCGTCGACGCGAAATTCACTCAGGTCCTCTTCCAAATGCGCCGCAAGCTGAAATCAAATGGTCATGGATTCTTCATTATTCTCCCGGATATCCTGGACAACACATGCAACGGTCTTCCAAGCATCTGTTTTCGGAAGTCCCATGGACTTCTAACTAGAGTTGCAGAAAACAACGAGGCCGAAAGGTTAATTCGAGATGCAATAAGGCTTTTTGACTCAAAAGAAGGGGAGGGGATTGATGAGGGGTCGTATTCAGCTAATTGTTTAGATTCTTTAACTGTATGCGAGGATCTTGTGGAAAGCGTAGATAGGTTTGTGGATGCCATGGATGCCGTTTCAAATGGGAGATTTTTGAGGGGAGAGGAAAGCTGTATTGGGTCGGAATGGGCGGAACTGGACTGGCTCAAATCGAAAGGGTATTATAGTGTAGAGGCATTTATGGTAAATAGATTGGAGGTGGCATTAAGGTTGTCGTGGTTGAATTGCACCAATTGTAAGACTAAGAAGATGGGGGTGAAGTTGAAAGATAAAGTGAATTCAGCTGGTTTAGCTGCAAATACATTTTGGAGGAAGAAGGGGTGTGTAGACTGGTGGGAAAAGCTTGATGAAGCATCAAAGCGGAAGGTGTTTCTAACTGCTTTGGGGAAAGTTGCAAAATCTCTGGTACTTCTGATAGAAGATTACACATTTTATTGTTTACAAATCACATTTTCTCTTCAGCAGTTTTATTTATTTCTAATAATATAATCAGTTCGATATTCGCTGGATGTTTCACCTCATTTTTCACTTAAGAGGAGAATTTTTTGGATATGACTTCTCATTCTTAAATTTTAATTAACTAGGAGCTAACATGATCCAGAATTTCCAATTCTTTGGAAGGAAAGAAGGCATATATGTGAACAGGATGGGACCTGATCTCTTAAAGGAAAGATTTGAATTTGTTCTATTTTGAGCAGAAATTACCCATACGGTTCCAATAGGAAAATTGTTCATGAACTAATGTAGTCTTTGCTAAGGAAAGTGGAACATAATATCTCATGGCACAAGAGTATATAGGGTTGAGCCACGGACAATATCTTTGATCTCCAAATGATCAGTGGAAGAAGAATAACTGGCCGATTGAATTGTAAAACCTATCAGATTAACAGACATATTGAAACTTCAATTTCATTCATTTCTCGAATAGCTCTATGGATGATATGGGGGTTTGAACTTCACTGGACCATGATTCAGTAGGCTTGATTCTTAGGACAGAAAGAGTACCCAATTTAGCTACTTTACCGCTTTCAGTTTTAAGACGTGTCATCTACTTTCGTAATGTCATACAGGGTTCCATTTAAGCTATTTCCTATTTAGCCTGCTTATACCCCTTTTTGATGCACATGTTATCTCAGGCTGCAGATGTTTACAATGGGAAAAAATGTGTACGTGATGATAAAATGTGGCACTATGGTGACATAGCGGACCAACCATTTAGGTGCAACAATAAGCTGTCAAACCAAGAAAGCCCTGCCAATTTCAGCACCACATTTGAATGTTCTTCACAGAACAAAATCCCTACATCTCTGTCTCAGATGCCATCATCATTGATTTGTGCACTTGAAGGTTTATCTATTCTTCAAAATATTTCCATCATGTTATTTGAATTTCAGCATATTTATTATGAAAGAGAAAGGCTGTACTTTAGCTCCTTAGAATCTATTAGCTCAATTACTGATTGTATATTAAGAAAGCTGCGAGTTTTACTAATGGTGATCTCACTTGAGTGTACTAAAGTTGAATTATTAGAGGATGTACAAATAAAGTCATCTTTAAAGAAAAACAAGGAGAAACTTGGCCCCAGCAACACTAAAAAAAGCAGGAAGAACAGTAAAACTAAAAAGAAGAATCATGTTTCAAAGCTAGCAACAAATGATGTTGCACTTGTGGAACGTCCTGAGGTACCCACACTATGTCTCTATTCTAGTATTCTATTAAATAATTTTGTGAAGAATAGATGCTTCAATTCACTATCCTAATTTTAAAATGGGTTGTTTCAAGGATGATGCATTTGGATTGGCTTATGGTGAAAATGCAAAGATTTGTTCACCTAGTAGCTTGGATGACAAGGTGCAGCAGATGAAATTTGTAAAAGATACTATTCCTGCAACACTTCACATGGTTGTACTTGTCTCTTCAATATGGATCATCTCTGTTTTTTTCGTGATGGTAATAGTTTGTGACTGGTTTGATATCACTAGGGAAGTGGAGAAGGACAACATACTAAAACTACCCCAAGCATTTCTAGGAAGAAAAAAGAAAGAAATAAGCGTAAAAACTATTGCCCCAGTGTTCCTGCAGAAGCAGGAAATCATCAGCTAGGCCTTATTAAGCTTTCCACTCTACCTCTGACCTGTGAAGACCAGCATGCGACATCTGGTTTCATATCTGAAACTTCAGCTGTTGAGAAGAGGTCAGCAGTTGATACTATTAAGGATAATGACAACGTTGAACCAACATCAACTTGTTCTACTGGTTGTGCAGATCGAATAGCAAGTTCTGCTCCAATGCTCTTCCGGACCTCAGAGAGTGTGATAGAAAATGAAAGGTCAGCTGTTGGATTAGAAACCATAAATCAAGATATCATTTGCAGTGTAACTTCTCCAATGCCTTCAGTTGAAATTGGTAAAAATTGTGAAACCCATGATAAAAGCATTAAAAGTGTTATTGGCTTAAATATAGAGGGGATGAACCTAGGTGCATTGAGAAAGCAAGACAAAATTGGTGATCAGGAAGCAAAAATATTCTCATTTCAGGAGCGTGGAAGTATTGATGTGTATAATAGTGGGCCTGCGCGTGCTCCAACTTACCTTTCTTATGAATGGCCCAATGTAGCTCCTATCCACTTCCCGTCGGGTAACTCACATCTTCCACCTGCCACTGATAGACTGCATCTGGATGTTAGTCATAACTGGCAACGCCATTATCGCCAATCTTATGTACGTGCTGTACATCATGTAAGGAACCCCCCAATTGAATCAGGGCATACTGGCATTATGCCTAGACCATTAGCAGTGAGCCTAGACTGGCCACCTATATTACGCGGTGCTAATGGAGTAGCTCCATCTGTCACCTGCAATTATGACACTGGATTTATCACAAGGCGACCATCTTTTCAACATGACTTGGCTAAACAAAGCATTCACCGCAGCACAGTGAGTGTTGATGATGAAAGACTGTATTCTGGTGAAATAATCGATTTTTCCGAGTCCACAAATGCACAGGAAGTGTGTGATGAACATGAAAATTACTGTATGCCAGAAGAAGAATTAGAGGTCCATGGCTGTCCTGGTGTGGATTATAACGAATACTTTGGTGGTGGTGTGATGTACTGGAATCCTTCTGATTTTACAGGGACCAGCTTTTCGCGTCCTCCCTCGCTTAGTTCAGATGATAGTTCTTGGGCTTGGCGAGAGGCAGATATGAATAGGGCTGTTGATGACATGGTTGCCTTCTCTTCCTCTTACAGTACAAATGGTTTGACTTCACCATCTGCTACTTCTTTTTGCTCTCCCTTTGACCCTTTAGGCTCTGGAACTCGTGGATATGTGATATCAGGAAGTGAAGTTAATACTGGCAAGGTTGCACAATCATCAATTGCCACATCGATAGATATAGTGGTAGATGAGAAGAATGCTCCAGCTTCCTTGTCCAATGTATCTGTTGATAATGAGGCAAAGACTGTTGATGCATTTCCATATCCCATTCTTCGACCAATTATCATCCCAAATATGTCAAGGGAAAGATCAAGATCGGATTTTAGGCGTAGTCATGATCGTAGAAGTCCTTGCATCCCTCCTAGGCAGGAGCAACCTCGGATCAAGAGGCCACCATCACCCGTGGTCCTTTGTGTTCCACATGCCCCTCGACTGCCTCCTCCTCCTCCTGTTGATGATTCCAGAAGAGAAAGAGTTCCAACGGTCCGCTCTGGTAGTTCAAGCCCTAGGCATTGGGGTATGAAGGGCTGGCTTCATGATGAAGTAAATTTTGAAGAAGCTTGTATACGCATGGATGGCAGTGAAGTAGTTTGGCCACCATGGAGAAGTAAAAGCTTTTCAGGTCATCAGTTAACACAGCCTCTGACCGGAGCCTTACTGCAAGATCACTTAATTGCAATATCACAGTTAACTCAGCACGAGCATGTAATTTTTTTAAATATCCTGTTTGTTTTCAATGGGCTCATCTTCTTTATTTCCTTTCTCCCTATGCAGCAAAAGGTTTAGTTATTTTTATTATTATTTTTTTTATTTTCCCCTTTTCCCAGCCAGATGCTTCGTTTCCTCTACAACCTTCTGAAATGCGGAGCTGCTCCTCGGAAAAGGCATCTCTGAGTTCAATCCACATCAATCTTCATGAAGAAATCAACACATTCTATAAACAGGTATGGTGCTAAGCGGTACTTTCAGCAGCTTGTATTTTTCTTGAATTTTGATGAAAACCTTTATTTCTAGGACTTCTGCCTAATTATTTTTTCATATTACATGGTGATACCTAAGGTTGCTGCTGAGAATTTGATCAGGAAACCTTACATTAATTGGGCCGTGAAGCGTGTCACACGTTCACTACAAGTCTTATGGCCCAGATCCAGGACAAACATTTTTGGTTCAAATGCAACAGGTTTGTCACTTCCTTCAAGTGATGTTGACCTTGTGGTCTGTCTTCCTCCAGTGAGAAATTTGGTGAGTCTGATTTCTATACCAGTCAATCATGCTTACTCTTGCATATTTTGTTCTTTCAATCTTCCTGGGGGAGAAAGAAAATGAAGAAGCCTCACTGTAGTCATCTACCAGGAACCCATTAAGGAAGCTGGTATCCTGGAGGGACGCAATGGTATCAAGGAAACATGCCTTCAGGTAATTTAGATATTCTATAAACAACTATATATGGATAAACTTTTTGACGAGATGTAGTTTTTTGCTTTGCTATTGCTATGATACTAATCACTAAAACTTGATAACTTAGCTTGTATAACACAGCATAAACATGCTAAAATCCAAAATGCATGAACCAACATGTTTTCAATGTATGATATGCATTTCCTTAGTTTTATTTCCTTTTTGTAAGACATTTAGATGAGTCTTGTTTGTTCTTTTCATAGAATAGCCTCTCTTCCAATTGAAAAAAAAAACTAGAATTTTTAATATACTCCTTGTAAATTTTCCCAGTTGCATAGACTTTGTTAGAGATGGAATTTGATACTACGTTAACTTGCAGCATGCAGCAAGATATCTTGCTAACTTGGAGTGGGTTAAAAATGACTCTCTCAAGATTGTGGAGAATACTGCTGTACTACAACCTTCTCTTTTCTATAGTGCTTGGTCATCATATTCGCTTTTTTTTTTTCCTTCCTCACTTTTTACAAAACATCCAGACGCTTACACATGCATATCTAATAATATTCTTGTTCCAGATACCTATTATCATGCTTGTGGTGGAAGTTCCTCATGATCTCATTACCACTTCTTCACATTCCCAAACACCAAAAGCCCACACAACTAGGGAAGGCAATCCTTTCCAGGTTGACGGTGCTAGTTCAGAAAGCTGTACATCCCCCAAATGGCCCAAGATGGATGCTTCTGTCAAGAATGTAAAATCAGTCCGTATTGACATTAGTTTCAATTCACCATCACATACAGGCCTGCAGACCACTGAGCTGGTAACTATTGTCTCTGGACATGACATTTTTCATACGCCCGCTGATGAGCACGAACTTAGATAATAGATACTGCAGCATATTTGTCTTATTTTGCTTTGTTCTTCTGGTTAGTTTTATTACAATACTTTGTTATTAATGTCAAGCAAAGTACCAAACTACACCTTAGTCTGGATTATGTTTATTACCCATTTTAACCATGTTTTTTACTTCACTTGGTCAACTGCATTGGATTTGAGATCTTGATTTTCTCCTCTTTGTGATAGGTAAAAGAGCTTACTGAACAGTTTCCTGCAACTAAACCTCTCGCTTTGGTATTAAAGCAGTTCTTGGCAGATCGAAGCCTAGCTCAGTCATATTCTGGTGGTTTGAGCTCATATTGTCTTGTAAGTATTTATTACTCTCTCCATCCCCCAAAAGAAGTATTTTTTCCAAATTGTTTTCTTGCAAAAGGGGCCGTGAATTTAAATGTTATTTACTGAGTTAAGCCAACCAATATATTAAAAAACTACTCGTAGAATCTTTAACTGTTAGAAGTTGTACCTTACAATTTTTTTTCAAACAACTCTTTTTTTGAGACGGTGTTAGTATTTGTATTCATGAAGAAGTATTTGTTCAACTTTCCACAATTTCTCTTAATCAATCACAATTCCAAAAGCACAGCTGCAAAACTGGTAAGCCATTGGGGAACTAGTTTTCTCGTGTGATTAATCTCTGTAGTTGCTTTAAAAAAGTGCTTTATGTTTGTTTATTGTTTAAACTTCCTTGGAGAAAAATTGAAGCATGAAACTCAGATATAAATCAAACCAGGGAGTCCACGTCACTTGGACAAGTCTGCATTGCCAACATTCTCTCTTACATAAACTAGTTATCCGCTAAGACATGATGTTCACAGATTAATATTTAAATTTAAAATATAAGCCTCACACATCTAAACCGTTTTTGAGATTGACTTGTTTTGATTTTTTCTTGATGGTCTTGTTACATTTTTTATAGGAGAAATAATTGTTGTTTCTGATGATATGTTTTTTGACAGGTATTACTGATAATACGTTTTTTGCAGCATGAGCATCATCATGGTCGCTCCACTATCCAAGTACAGTTCTATTCTATTTTATTCATTATTGATGTAGGTTCACTCCTTTCACCCTTCTTCCCAATTTGGCTATGTTTAAGTGTTGATATTGTGACAAGTCTTGTGTGCTCTAGGCATTGCAATACTATATGTTCAAAATTGTTAATGAGAGTTTGGACATAAAAGTTTATCATAATTTCAAAATCCAAGAAGAGGCTTGTCTAAATGACAAGGCGCCATGAGATGTGGATGGATTGTTAGCTTCTGTTTGTTTTGCGGAGTACTGGAATTGATATAAATACCTCCAACTTTTAATAATTATTTAAATGTGTTAGCAATGTTAACAAGTGTCTTTGTTTTCTTTAATAGAATTTTGGAAGTCTGCTCATGGATTTCTTCTATTTCTTTGGGTACGTTTGGTACATTCTGTAAGAGAATAGTTTTTTTTATGAGTATTGTCCTTATTATTCTCTTCTTGTCTTTGTTGGTTTCCTTCTCATGGCTATTAATGGACAAAGGAAATAAAGAAGTGTTAGAACCTGCAATTCTAGTCTAACAGATCACAGAATTGATTCAAGAACTCAAGGCAACTTTTATTGAATCTCCGCAACTGGGCGAAGCCCCCAAATGAAAAGAAAGAGAGGCTCATCTCTCACTCCCCAGTCCAAGACTAATGTCTAAAGTCTAAACAGCCTATCTACAACTTCTAACCTTATTCTCTTTATAGTAAGAAAGGTTAACAACTGGTAGTTATTAGTTCGTAATAGACTAATGTTAGAGACCTCCAAAAATTCAGAAAATTAATAGAAAGATCAACAACAAACAGATGAATCTTTATTGATGAAGAACAATTACAGAAGTAGAATAGAGAAATTCAGGCCGAAGCCCCCCAAAGAAAGAGAAAGCTCTCGATCTTCCCAAGTCCCAAAGTCCAAGTCTAAAACCGCCTCCTTACTACTCCCACTTCCCCTCTATTTATACTAAAATACTCAGACCCTTATTACTAATACTATTATTATTATTATTATTATTATTATTATTACTTCTATTATTAGTCTAATAAGTGGGTTCCTATCAATACTCCCGCCCTAAACATCCACCTTGCCCTCAAGGTGGGCGATAGGAAACCGCCGAGATCTTTTGCTTCTTCTTCTTTCTTGCTCCTCTACCTTCCCAATACCTAACTGATTGTGGAGCCATGAACTTTATTGCCTGAAGAACCAAAGATGTCTGGCAGCTTACAAACCCCACCACCAATCTGGATTCTGATGCTCTGTGCTGCCAGATGTATACCAGGGTATTGATAAGCAAAGGAAGAACTGCACATAGATACTCAGCACATTGATACTCAACTATTCTTTCCAGCAAATAGGGTTCCACTTCTACATTTCCAACCTCTTCACCTAGCTTGGTTTCAATTATAAGAACACAATTGGAACAGTTCAGTTCTGGATCATTGGAGCCTAAGATCATTTTGTAAGGTTGAAAATTTGTTTCAACTTCTAATCCATTAACATCAGTCCATTTCAGTCTATAGTTAGAGGGGTCCCAATTTGCATAAAGTATCAAACTGCCCCCCCCTAATTTCCAATGTAGGCTTCACATATGAGTTGATGAAGATTGCATCTTCAATTGCATTAATCTGTGGATCCTTCTTCCCCAACTGTTTTGCTAAGGTACCCCAGAATGACTCAACATCTTCACCCTTAATTTCTTGGTCATGACTGTCATCCATTTCCCTATCCTTCTCTATTGTCCTGAGTGTCTTGATCCCATAAACATCAATTTCCATATGAAACCTATAGTTCAAATCTGCACAACCCCTTTGAACAGGCATACAAGCTATCTGCCTACTCCTTACCTTTTGACCAATAATCAAGGCCTCTTGGAATCTAGCAGGATTGTTTTCCTTGTTAAGTATCAGTAACATGTCATCCTCATCATCAATAGCATAATCCTCCTTTTCCATCCAATTCTGAGCAACTCTTACCTCCATCTCCGTTAGAATATACCTTATAAAAGTAACATCCTCATATCTGAAACTATCAAACTTGTTAAATGACTTCATTCTGTTAGGAATCTAGTAGTAATCCAGTCAAGGAGATAAGCAGTAACACAGATCTGATAGCAAAGAGGGAAATAGGCGTATATTGATAGTGAATGTCTCGACTTAGGCAACAAGGCAACTCAGGCAACCGGGACTCTCAAAGGCAACCGTACATCCAAATAATAGTCTGCCTATTCTTAGCTACCCACTTTACTATTTATAGCCAATATTCCACATAAGGAAAGGCCATCAATTACTAATAACCCCTTCCCTTCTAAATATACTACAAGTACCCTTACTAATATTATTATTATTATTATTATTATTATTATTATTATTATTATTATTATTATTATTATTATTATTATTATTATTATTATTATTATTATTATTATTATTATTATTATTATTATTATTATTATTATTATTATTATTATTATTATTATTATTATTATTATTATTATTATTATTATTATTATTATTATTATTATTATTATTATTATTATTATTATTATTATTATTATTATTATTATTATTATTATTATTATTATTATTATTATTATTATTATTATTATTATTATTATTATTATTATTATTATTATTATTATTATTATTATTATTATTATTATTATTATTAATAATATTTACTAAACCCAGATTCCTAACATTACTCCCCCCCTAAACAACCACCTTGTCCTCAAGGTGGGTGATAGGAATCAGCCATAATCTTCCACTTCCGCTTCATTCTTGCACCTCTCCCTTCCCAGTACTTAACTGGTTTTTGGGCTTTTAGCTTCTGTGCATGGATCTTCATCATTACTTCCTTCACCTCTGGACTCCCACATAGGGCATCAACATATCTAGCTATGTCATTCTGCTCAGCCCATTTTTCCATTGTTGGTTGGTTTGGTTTTGTAGCTACTGATAGAATTTTATCCAAGCTACTCCCCCGGTCTGCCTCCCTAACCACAATGATGCTGTCCAGCGAAAAAATGTCATCTTCTGCCGCATTTTGGGAGGGATTTGTCTTGTACAACTTCAACAGCCGACATAAATTGTGCATAACAGTGCTGCCATGCGAGTTCAGATTCTCTAACCGCCAAAGTCCCAAATCGGAGAAGTTTTCTTCTTTCCTTTCCCTTATAGGCTGAAACCCCAATGATGGAGTTAACAGATTAGTAAAACCAAGTCCAGAACCCTTGCTTACACTCCCCTTCGGACCAGAATCAATTAGAGTACCGACCTCATCACTTAGAGGGTTATGCTCAACCACCAGAAGCTTTCTGAATGGTATAGTTGCTTTAGTCTCTTGAGATGCAAATTTTTGAGTAATTCCATACTTCCCAGTAGCAGAATTTGTATTTATACCGTGAACACCAGCATTCTCCTCAACCTGAATCTAGTAGTAATCCAGTCAAGGAGATAAGCAGTAACACAGATCTGATAGCAAAGAGGGAAATAGGCGTATATTGATAGTGAATGTCTCGACTTAGGCAACAAGGCAACTCAGGCAACCGGGACTCTCAAAGGCAACCGTACATCCAAATAATAGTCTGCCTATTCTTAGCTACCCACTTTACTATTTATAGCCAATATTCCACTTAAGGAAAGGCCATCAATTACTAATAACCCCTTCCCTTCTAAATATACTACAAGTACCCTTACTAATATTATTATTATTATTATTATTATTAATATTTACTAAACCCAGATTCCTAACACATTCCTTCCCAAGTAATGTTTAATGAATGATAGTACATCATTTCATTCTTGAAGATATTTGGCCAATTCCTCTTCAGTGCAGGATGATAAGACACATTGCATACCTGAAGAAGCCCGAACCTATTGTTGTCAAAGTCTGATTGGTCAAGATCGTACTTGCAAACATTTGAAAATCCAGCGACTGCACCAGTTTCAGTTTCAAGGTTAACTGAGGATTCCTCCTTGAATTCCTTGTCGCCATAGGTGTGTGTATCTTCCGGGTACGGTTGCTTCTGATTACCCAACTCCTGCTCCGATTGTAGTGATTCAGATAGAGATTTCGAGCTGGAGTCTTCTGCTTGCGTAGAAACCAGAGTTCCGGAAGAATTTGCTTGCGAACTTGGAGAAGCAACTTGATATGAAGAACGCGGACAATGATAATCGACTGTTGAAGTGGAATATTCTCCTCTTAATCGCGTTTTTCTTGGACATGATTTGGTCGCGGTTGAGTCAGTTTGCGAACCCAGGGAGGCTTTTCGTGGTAGCGAACGAGAAGAGACAGGGTGCGCCTGTGAACAGTGATCATAACTTCGCGATTGCGAGCCAAGAAAAGTAGTTCGCGACTCCGACTGTGAACTTGTGAGCAACTGCGACGAACGATGTCTAGGGTTCCTTGATCGATCATCCAATGTCTCTGAGTTAGACGAACCTGGTTTGTCAGGTCGCGGATGAGACCTATTCTTCCTAGATCGATCTGTCTTTCTGTTTTGAAGTTCAGCGATGCCAGCCTGCATTGCTGTCATCATCGCTAACATCTCATCATACTTCCGATCTATATTATTAAAACTCTCTTCCATTTTCGGAGTCAAAAATTCTTCCATGAATCAGATTCTTGGTCTCCAGGAAATAACAGGCTCTGATACCAATGTTAGAGACCTCCAGAAATTCAGAAAATTAATAGAAAGATCAACAACAAACAGATGAATCTTTATTGATGAAGAACAATTACAGAAGTAGAATAGAGAAATTCAGGCCGAAGCCCCCCAAAGAAAGAGAAAGCTCTCGATCTTCCCAAGTCCCAAAGTCCAAGTCTAAAACCGCCTCCTTACTACTCCCACTTCCCCTCTATTTATACTAAAATACTCAGACCCTTATTACTAATACTATTATTATTATTATTACTTCTATTATTAGTCTAATAAGTGGGTTCCTATCAACTAAACTAATAACAACCCTACTTCCTTCTAGAATACACTTTATTAGAGTATTTATCTTCTTTTCTTCAAATTAGTAAAGTCTCTATCAATTCTCCCCTCCTGAAAATCCAACTTGCCCTCAAGTTGGAAGGGTGGAATTTGTTGTTTGATGCTATGTTCTGTTTCTCAGGAATCTTCAACTCCGGGGAGATCCCTCTCAATGTACCAAGATTTCCCTCTCCCCTGCTGAATTCATCCTTATATTTTCCCTTCCTCAGGCCACTCCAGTAATTCACACTCTTCAGTTAAACAGTTAAGAAGGTCTTGGCAGGAACTGGCAGGTTTCAATTCCTTCTTCTGCTTCCTCTTTATCCTGGCGCTTCGGCCTTCCCAATATCTCATTAATTTCTGAGAACAGAGTTTCCATACTTGATATTTCCAATTCACAGATGTTACTGCACCATATATTATCTCTGGTGAATTTTCATTTTCTTCCTTAGTCTTCAGGCCTTCAATAGCCACAAATATTTTCATGCTTTCCTGAGGTATAATACTTGCAACAGAAGCAGAATTTGTGTTCATGACCTGAATATCAGGATTCTCATCCTCTTGAATCTGCTCATCAGAAAGTGTTGAACTACAAATTGCTTCAACTCCATTTGAGATTTCTCCCATTGAATTTTGATTGACTAACATGATGCTTTTTAGTAAAACAATGCCATCCTCCGCCATACCTGGAGTACACTCCATATCATTCCACCAAACAACTCCTATAGAACTACTCCACCAAAATTTCTCTGCCACTTCACATTCCTCAAAAGGAGAGTCCCATTTCACCTGGTGTCTTGATACAGAGAATGGAAGAACCCAGGCTATCTCTAAAATGACACAATCTTTGCTAGTGTGAAGCACCATAGTAACCAAGCAACTCTTTTTGGCCGAGAGTACAAAATCAGCTCCTGCATCACCCAGCACCTCAGTCCTAATTCTTTGGTTCCAACCTTGCCTGTCAGATGAAAAAAATTCGTTTTCTCTAAAAGAACTCCAATCTTTGAGGTTGTTATTCAAGCTGGAGAGTTTGTCACACTTGAGGGAATAATTGCTCCAAATTCAAGTCCGAGATTGACTGAAGATTTCTCATTGCATTCCTCTTCAGGGTCTGTTTCCTTAACTGAAGGTACAACCGATTCCAATTCTGTGTTTATTGTTGTTGGTGGAGTCACTGAAGATCCCTTTTCTGATGCGATGACCAGAGAGGATGAGCTGTGAGATATGGGGATCGAAGGAACCTGCGAACTGGGGACTTCTGCTTGCGTCGAAGCCAGAGGACCCGAAGAAATTATTTGCCCACTCAGAAGAACGGCTTGAAAGGAAGAAGACGAACCGTGAGAATCGATTGGAGACGATGAAGATTCTCCTCTCAATCGTGTCTTTCTTGAACGCGAATTGATCGCAGGTGAGTAAGTCTGCGAAGGGTAAGAAGAAGTTCGCGATTGCGAACTAAAAGAAATAGTTCGCGATTCAGTCTGCGAACGGGTGAGCGATTTGCGATGCGCTGCGTCAGATGTATGTAACCTGTTTCTCGATCGACTTTGACTTCGCGTTTCCAACCTGGCGATGGCCTCCTGCAACGTCTTTAACATGGCTGTGTTTTGTTGTTGATTTCTGACCATCTTCTCTTCCAGTTCGTTCATCCTCGATTCCATCTTCGTTCTCGTCAATAACATCCACAAAGATCTACGTTGCTCTGATACCAATGTTAGAACCTGCAATTCTAGTGTAACAGATCACAGAATTGATTCAAGAACTCAAGGCAACTTTTATTGAATCTCCGCAACTGGCCGAAGCCCCCAAATGAAAAGAAAGAGAGGCTCGTCTCTAACTCCCCAGTCCAAGACTAATGTCTAATGTCTAAACAGCCTATCTACAACTTCTAACCTTATTCTCTTTATAGTAAGAAAGGTTAACAACTGGTAGTTATTAGTTCGTAATAGACTAAACTAATAACAACCCTACTTCCTTCTAGAATACACTTTATTAGAGTATTTATCTTCTTTTCTTCAAATTAGTAAAGTCTCAATCAAGAAGCCACATTACTTTAGAGTGACATAAATCTAAAAGAACTTAAAAGGACAATAGGTGACTCTTCGTTGTAGTTCTGCTCCAAGTTACTGTGGAGTACTCATTTTGTTCATATATTTATTACCTAGGTTGACCAAATCACACAGTTTAAGAAAGTGTATTAGGATGACAAAATGATCACACTTGTAATGCTTTACGAGAATAGCCCGTATTAAAAGCAACCCACCATCAATGTGCTCTTGGGAAAAAGGGTCTATTGAATAGCATAAAAGGGATAAAAATGGGAAAAAGTTATTTAGTATGCATTAATTTCATAAATGGACAGATAAAAGGAACAATATTAAGTGGTCCAAATAAACATGAACATAGAGTATTGTTTTATTTCAATCCCAGCTCTTGAAGAACGAAACACCCCTGCCTGCCAATGTATAGACAAAATGAAAACCATATAGAAGTTCAGCACAATCTTATCTGAGGCATTGACAGTCTTTGTGGATTTGTGCTAGGAATGTGTTTGATCCTCGTCAAATGCGTATCTCAATACATGGTAGTGGATTATACATAAATAGGGAAAAGGGATGCAGGTAACAAAAACTCTTATCAGTTCTATCAGCTGAGGCTTGATATGGTAATAATCTTTGCTTACAATTATCTACCACATTTTTGCAGCATTGATCCAATTTATATAGATGACCCACTTTTTCCGACCAATAATGTGGGTCGGAATTGCTTTCGTATAAATCAATGCATCAAGGTTAGCTGATACACACCCTTTCAATTAGTTAATGATATTTTGATGCGAATTCTGTGATGTTAGCATGAATGGGTGAGTATATATTTCTCTATCTTCCTATTATCTCTCTCTTTCAAATATAGATGATTAGCTAGTTCTTCCTTATCTTGCCCCTTTGTACAAATGGGGCAAAATCTTATGGGCTCTAGTCTAGAGCAGTAGAACCACTTGAGTTCAATATGCAAGAGAGAATGTAAGTGTGCAATGTAAGGCGATCATTTTTTTTCCCGTTCTGTTAATTTTTTTATTAGTTAATTACTTTATAAATTCGAAGACTTGCGATGACGTAATGAGTTGTGGTTGGGGAAAGTGAAAATAAGCTGACGAGTTTCATTGATTGCTCCGTGGGACAATGTATCAGTATTGGACATGCCATGTGTGTTTTGTAATCTGTTAAGCAGTAAAGCAAGATTGGAGATTGCATGTTAGCCAAAACCCATAGATTGCAACCAACCAGCCCGCCTCTTTTTACACTCTCTTTCACCAACGGAAAGTTAGTAGGGGGAATATGTTCTTGAAGCATCTTAAAATTAATTTTCCTACTTCGAAATATCTCTTCAGTGACAGATGAGAAACAAGATTTTCTAAAGTTAATCATATGTTCTCTTAAGTCATAACATGTTTTCCCTGCATACTTCTGTTGTAGGCATTTGCAGATGCTTATTGTACATTGGAGGATGAGATGTCTTCCCTTCCAAGCAATGGTGACACAGATGCAAGATTACCTTCACTTAAGCTACTTCCTAAAATTATTCCAAGCATTATGCATTTGGATGGTCCGATGGATTCCGATTATCAAGAGATTAACCATATTCCATGTTGTTGAGATGTGTGCGGTTGGTGAAATAGCTTGCAATGTTTTTGAGGTAGACATGAGTGTGTTTCATTTAAGACTTATACTGAAACTGTCCTACTCTGTAAGAACTTATGGCATCTGATTAAGTCTGAAATATGAAGTCTGATGAAACTAGCAAAAACTAGGCACTTTGTATTTTTTTCTTATCTGCTCTAATAATTATTTAAAGGGCCAGAGTCAATAATTTTCACTTCATGTTATGACCTTCGCAATTGATGTATGTTTGACAGCATATTGGAGTTGTGGTTGGTTGACCTCCACAGATCAGAGTAACCCTTCATGTATTGATTGCAAATGGATGATAGCTGTAACATCTTCAAACTGTTGTTGGAAGTAAAATGCAACTCCAAGAAGTTATTCTGTGCTTCTAGACACTCTCAAGCCATCAGTTGGTACTTTGTATTCCCTGCACAACCAAATTATAGATCTTAGAAGAATAGTCACTTTACTGGCTAATTTGAAATTGTAAGTTGTCATTCCTTGATCTAAATTTTTATGTTTGTATCAACAAAAGATGTTTCATTTCCATCATTTGTAATGGAGCCAAAGATTCATTATTTTTTGGCTTGAGAATATGATGGAATAAAGCAAACTGGCTCACCAAACCGTCTGCTCTTCTTTGTTATGAAGCAACAGTCCGTCCATGCAATTTTGGACGCGATTTTCATTATGGGTCATCCGGAAACAGTCTCTCTGTGCTTTAGTACAGGGGTAAGACTGCGTACATCCAACCCCCATCTTACCCGATGATAAGAACTGAAATACTCTGAAAATTTTATTGAAAGAAAATTACTGAATCCTGGAACACCATGATCAGGAAGATTATTTGTTGAAAGGAAAAAACAAGTTGGAAGCCTTTCGAGAGGGCCCCTCTCTCCAAAACCAGTCTATCCAAATTTCCCGATGCCTATTCTCCTCCCTCGGTTCCTGTTTTATTCCCCAATCTGCCGACCCAGCTTCCCCCATTAATTATGCTTTTACTCCTTTGCCCTTTTATTTCTCCTACTATAAACTCTGGAAAAATCCCTTTCATTATTAATATCTAAATGGGCTGGGTTCTCATCACCCGACCGTAGGTGGGAGCCTTTGCGGCACTGGGGTAAATTATGAATGATCAACAAAAGATGTTTCCCTGCTAGTTGCAGCCATGCTATTTATCTGCCTTTTTTAAAGCTAAGCTTTCTATGGGCTCACTCTTACCTGATCTCATTATTTACTCTTATGGAGCAATGTTATGGCTCCACCTATGTAACTTTTTGATCTATCAAATCAAGTGCTTATACTCTTATGAGTTACGAATGTAAAAAATAAATGAGACATTCCTGCGGTATTTAGCCTTTTAAGGTAGTAGACATGAAATTCTGAACTTTTTACATAGAACTTGGAACTGAAAATGAAAACACTTCAGTTCATTTGTAGTCAGACTTGGGATTATTAAAAAGTGAGAAAGATACAGTTGAGAGTTACTGATAGTTTCAGCTCTCTTATTAATCTATCAATTGCTCACAGCACACATTTGTCAGAGTATGCCTTGTTATTTTGCCCAGATCCTATGGCATATTGGGACAAAGTACCGCCAATCTGCTCACAACTTGAATTCTAGTATTTCACTATTTCATGACTATAGGATTTGAACATGCTTTAGTGATTGAACTTTATGCAAGGCTATAAACAGCGCAAAAAACTCTTGTATTCATATCTTTGGTTTCGCTTTTGCTAATTGGAATCAAATTGACTCTCTCTCTCTCTCTCTACATTCTAGGTAATAAGGATGAACTCAAAAAACTCTTGTATTCATATCTTTGGTTTCGCTTTTGCTAATTGGATATTGGATTTGCTCCTACCTGAAAGGTCAGTGAAAGCTACTCTTTCTAGGATTCATGGTTGAACTTGCACATAGAGGAACTAATACTTATGGGAAAAACTAGTTTTTCACTCTAACCTTAAAGCTCTTTGAATTACTTCGGTCTGCAAGTGTATACCAAGCTGCTGGCATTGTATCCGTTGGCATATCCAGGGAGCCCAGGACCCCCATTTTTTTTTTTTTAATTTCATATAGATTTTGTAATGGTAGTTTTTTGGATTTTTGTCTTATTATTATAATTACTTTGTAGCTATCCAGGTGGTGTAATGAAGCTGGAATACATCGATGTGGCAATAAGAGAAATCTGTATACACTGTGGCCTGACGCCTGTGCATGATGTCATTTTACATGGGAATATCCTATAATTAATATTTGTAACTTTCTTCATTGTTGTGCATAGAAACCCGAATGTTACCATGGCCATTATCAAATATATATATTCAATGCTAATGGTTAGGTAACTGGATGTATTAATAGTGTACTGTAAAAGGTTTTATGAAGGCCAGATAGGTGAAAACATATCTTAAACATTGGTAAATTTAAGGCTTGAATTCAGTGGAGTTTAGCACTTTGCATCCTATGTTTCATTCTACTTGCAGCTGTAGAGACTACGTCATCACCCTGCCATTGTGCATTTTGCTTTGCATGGATTGGATTGAAATCAATAGTTTAAAACTTCTGAAATCGTTCTTAGTCAGAAAAGGGCTCACACATAAAAAATGTTCTCCTGTCTTCTCACATTGGTAGGTAGCTTTTCCCACTTTCTCATTCGCCTAAAATCACAGTAATAATATGGGAGTCGGATCGGAGTCGGGAACTTGTTAGAGGTCGATTTTTAAATCTGGGATCTAGACTAGGCATGGACTGGGCCAGTTCGGACCAGCCTGGAACCCAACCCGACTGACCGGGACCAGGCCTTGGGGCCCGAAGCGGGGGGTATTTGGGGTGGGCTACGGGATGGGTATTTGGTGGACCAGCCCGGGCCCTTTTTTCTGCATGGATTGGGTGCTAGGCGGGTGAGGTTGGGTGGTTTGGGAGGTTTGGGGGTGGGTAGGAATAAAGCATAAAAACCATTTTTTTAAAAAGCCTAGAACCGACCCGGGCCGGTACCGGACCTGATTTCCCAAACCAAAATCCCTCCCAGCTCGACCCGGGCCCGGTCCATCCCTTATCTGGACCAGTTCTTTACTCGGGAACCAGAATGCCACCAAAAAGTCCAATCTGGTTCAAATTGGGAGTTGATTGGTTTGTTTTTTTTTCTTTCAATTTTTGAGAACTAAGTCGAAGAACCAAAATTGACCTGAAAATAGATATTGGTCAGCCAAACTTGGCTATAGACCTATAGTTATGGTTGCGGTGTGACAAATAGAGGGACCGGAACATTTGTTTCCTGTTCCGATTCTATCGTGTGTATACATGTACGGTACACACCCGTGTGTATATTATGCTATGTAAGTATGTAGTACTCCGTATATTTAGTAACATCATTTTTACACAAATATTATCAATATAGTTTGGGTTTACAAAAAAGTGAGTAACTACCCATCACCTACGGCAATCTAGGAGTAGTTATAGGAAAATCACTTTGCTCTTTCATTTAGTAGTCATATTTTTATTAGAGAGATTTAAAGTAGTAATATATGTGTAATTTTTTCTTTTTAGAATAATCCCAACTTTATGGTCCTTCCGCCAATAACAGTCCCTGTAAATAAATTCATGTACTTTCTGAAGTGGATGAGAAGAGATATAACAAGTAATCTCTAAAAATAATCTCAACTTTTAATTTTTACGCTTAATTTCTATTTAAAATTCACTTTTATAGAAGGTAATATTTGGTCATGGACCATTATTGGCGGATGATCCATATAGTTGAGATTATACAAAAATAATCAATAATTGGGATTATTGTTAGCGGACCGGCAATAGTTGGGATTATTATTTTCAATTTTTCCCAAATAAAAACTAATCTTGACCATTCAAGTGAAAAATGAGTGAAGGTGATCAATTTTAAGTTAAAAAACGGTGTCATCTTAGTAATTATGAAGAATTTTAATGAAAATATTGTATTAAGAATGCTTCAAAATATACAAAAAGTGTATATGTATAAAACCAAAGTATATCGTAATGCAAAATAACACGTGCACAAGTTTAAAAGAATTGATAATTCATTTAACATTCATGAGTTGCACTTTTACCTATCAATGATCCACTTTGTATTACTCCACAGTGTATTTTGATTAAAGAATCTATCTAATCCATTTGTTCTCGAGTGATTAAAGACTAAACTTTATTATCACTTTTCAGGCTAGCACTACTTTTGAGTTTTGAACCCACCGACATATCAGTATAGTCCGATTAATTTGAAAATCTTTCTTCCCGTGAAAAATCATAACAATCGAAACAATTATAAATCTGGTTCATGAGTCATGACGATGCACATTTATAGTTAAGATGAGAAAAATCATAACGATCTAAACAATGCTCACTTTAAACTATGAGAAAAGTTTATGATTATCCCTTTGTTTTAAAACTTTAAGGTGACAACTAAAGTTGTTTCCCGTTATATTTTTTTATTCAAAGTCAACCAATTCATGTTATTAGTTATACTTATTCTTAAGTCGCTCAATGTTCTTTTTATCGCAGGTGTAGTACTTGTGGTACGAAATAAGCTAGAAGAGAAAGAACAACAATTCGGTATGTTGAAAATAGCCTAAGATCAGGGACGGATCCAAGATTTTGGGTCAAGGGGGGTGAATTTTTTTCGTCACCGTAGTGGTGAAAATTTTTTCGTTTGTGAAGCGGGGCGAATTTTTTCACTAATGCAGCGGAGTGAAATTTTTTCACTAGTGAAGGGCTCTACGACTAGTTTTTTTTTAAAAAAAATGCGTTAATGCATACACGACGACATTTAAATCTATTACTCCGTACATTCTAAGTTTAGACAATGAAAAAATAACTTTGATTTTATAATTGAAATGCTATAGAAAAAAATATTGATACATTAAAACGTAAGATATGACATATCGAAGGAAAATTGTTTGAAAATAAAAAAGGTTATATAACATTTTATCCAATTATTTGAAGATAAAGTGCTTAAAAGGTACACAAACACCAATACTTTTTAAACAACTTCTGCATTATTTAACCACATGAATCTTATCATAATAAAGAACTGACTTTTGAATTACAATTTTTGTCTACCAAGGTCGGTGTTCGTGATCAGTCACAAGGAGTTTTCTTAATATTACAATAGCATGTATAAGATTATTATTTTTAAAATAATAATATATTGCTAATTCATATACATATAGATATTTGTGTTAATTATATATATGGTGCATGAAATATTTGTATGAAATATTTGTATGATACATTAAAATAATATATATATATATATATATGGTGCATGAAATATTTGTATTAATTCTAAAATAAGTTAAAGTTTATTATATATGCAATAAATTCTGTAATTTAATGTCAATAAACATATATATTTTGGATTCACTTCATATGATCTAAAAACTTTGTAACTTGTGTGTCTTGTATTTAGTTTTTTTTTACCCCAGAAGGTCAACCATCAAAATCAGTGGGGTAAATGTCGCGGGACATTTACCGTATTTTATTAAGAACCATATAAGATTACAATCAAAATCGGGGGGACCAAACCAAACCCGAAAATAGAAAAAACCAGAATTACAATCTAAGAGAAGGAATTCCGAAAAAATCCATCCAAAAAGCCCTTTTAACCATAATGGGAAGTTGATCCATATTTGATATAACAATGAGCCTGTCCGTCAAATTTTGGGCCATGTGATGCGCAGCCTAGTTGCCTTCCCGTTTCGTGTGACCCAAGACCAAATGTTTCCTAAAAAGCATTTGCAAACTTTCCTGAATCTCCATCAACCATCTCCTCTCTTCCTTACCATCGAAGTAGCTGAGAGCAAGGCTGGAATCCGATTCAACGTGAAAATGGTTGTAGCCTTCCTCCACCGCCCACCTAACGGAGAAGAGAATTGCTTTGACTTTTGCTTCGAGTGGCGACATCGGCGAGAGGAAAGCTAATCGCAACAATGAACTCACCCTTCTGGTTACGCAAGATCGCACCTCCATTTGCTTTACCAACTAAGTAACTGGCATCAACATTTAACTTCCATTTCATTTTAGGTTTTCTCCATGTAATAATTTGCGGTCTGAACCCTTTGAGTTTATAATTTTTAGGAACTAAACCTTCCTCAATCAAGGTGTTCCCTAAGTAGCGAACCTTAGAAGTTGAAAGGCTAGCAACCCAATTCTGAGTGTAGAGCTTCACCTGAAAAATAATATTATTAGAACTAGGGTTGCTGTCTCCATTTCCCCAAATTTGGTTCGCAGGTCTTCCAAATTATCCAGCAAATAATACCAGAGATGCTTTTTTTTAACAATATCCTCCATGCTAAATTTGCCCACTCCTGATGTCCAATGGTTCTAGAGGCTATAATCCATACCCCGCCGTTGATATATTCTAAAAATACTCATAAAATACTGCCACATACACCCCCTTTGCAACTTCACATTGATAAAAAAATATGCTTCATAGTATCACTATGTCTTTTACACATAGGACACATAGAAGGATTCAGCACAATATTAAATCTAGATAGATTATCAGGGGTTGGCAGAATACTTTTAGTAATTTTCCACTGCAATAACTTGAATTTAAGTTCAAGCTTTGATGCCCAAATATGCTCATAAATAGTAGAATTGAAAGCCAGTTGTCTAATCTCCTCATATGTTGATTTAAAAGAAAATTGTCCATCATCTTCTTCATTCCAGATTAATCTGCCAGAAGGATCCATGGTGCAAAGTTCAAGGGCCTGATCATTAACAGAACAAACTTGTATTTAGTATTGTTTGATTTATATTTAACAAAATCGAGTACTAATTATCTAATAAAGATAATTAAACATGAAAAAAATCGGAAGTTTTATATAATAATTATCCTAAGTTTTAAACAACGAGTTGTTCTATTGTTTATTTGTTTAAAATACGTAAATTGATTTAGATATTTCTTCTTTTAAATCTCTAATTAATTACTCCTTCCGTCTCTTAAAACTTTGTCATCTTTCCTTTTTGGGACATCCCAAAAAACTTTGTCACTTTTCCTTTTAATCAATTATTTTGTGGTTTTTGTTATTTCTCTATCCTCTGCACAAACCTCAACCACACAGTTCTTACTTTAATATTCTCCGTGCCGGTCAACTTTGGCAAAGCTTTAAGGGACGGGGGTAGTATTACATTATGTAAGACTATTATTGATTTTAAAGACTAAAAGTTAAGGGGGGGCGAATCTAATTAAAGTGTGAAAAATTTATGAAAATATTACATATATAATAGAAAATTTTGAAAGTCCAAGCCCCCCCCAATCCATCCCTGCTTAAGATTACAAGAGTGTTGATGGCCTATTTATAGGCGTTTACAATACGTCCATTAAATAAATGGTAATTAAATAAATGGTAATTGGACTTGATCCAATTTATGAACCAACACTAATGTTAATGGGTCAGCCGACCCCATGAGTAAGTAAATAATCCCCGGCTGATCTACATTAGCTGGGTCATATCAGCACTAGGATTTAAGTCATTTGATGCATCCTTGTGATCGTGGAGGTAGCATTAGCAGCGGATTTCACTTCATCCGATCCTTAGTGCTGTCCGATGGTCGGGAGTCCTTATCATTCATTGGTCTCCGGCCCTTAATTATCCAGCTTTGTTCCCATCTGCTAGCCTTGTTTTTTACCTAGCTTGCTTACTAACACTTGTTTTTTGGATCGAGTTGACTACAACATTTTGTACCGCTAACAAGAAGAACGAGGAGCTCTAGAGAAAGAGGGATGTTCCCCAACGTAAGCCGGTCGAGGCTCAATAGTGGGTGGACAAAGAGAAATTGCATTGAAGACTCTTCCCATTTATTTTTGTGAAACATTTAATTAGTTAGAATTATTATTAACATTTTTTCCAAGTGTAACTATTTTTGTAAGATGAGTAAAAGTATGAATTATCTGTGTCAATTCCGCGTACAATAATTGATAAGTGAGGTTAGTGGCGGATTCAGAAGTTTTCTCAAGGAGGGGCACTGGCACACGGGTGGGAACACGTCTTGTCAGGTTGGGATCGAGTGGTCACCGGTCTATTACGTCTAGTCCGTGCAGATTATTCAATGTCGGTTTCAGGTAATGTACATTTATGAATTAAAAGTCTAGTTTTGAACCCATTAAGAAAATTCTCAACAGTATCATTAAAGTTTTTTGATAGAAAGACATATTACCTTCGTCCAGTTTATTTAGTCATCTTTGACTTTTCTAATCAAAGATGATGAACTTTGACCATTTATTTTAACTAATGCAGTTATGCAAAATTTAATAATTTTATGATAGTATTTTTAACAAATAACATTTTGATATTATCAATACTTTTGTATATAAATATATAATCAGTCATTGTTATAAAAAAGTCAAGTTTGACTATCTAAAATGGGACATAGAGAGTATTTTGGATTAGAAATGAATCGTCTTGGGGCCATTTCTGATTTTGAATTAGAATTATTATTTTCATACCATAAAATGGTCAGGATTTCGGTTCTAAACTTGAATCATGATGTGTAACGCTAAACGCCGTGCCACAAAATTTGTTGATACTTGTTTAAAATATACAAAGTATAATATTACCATGTCGAACTTTTATCATATTATTACGAAAAATCAAAGGGTCTGACATTAATTTATCACGAATTGCACATTTTTTGTCAAGATTTTGAGATATTTTTTCGTGCCTAACAACTTTTGCACAATTTTAGCTCAAATTTGACAAAAATTTACTAATTCATGCAAAATTCTTGACAAAAGTAATTGCAATTAGTGAGAAAAACATTGGATGTATATTGTGAACGAAATTTTGCTCATGATAAGAGCCTTCAATCCATAATGGTCATCCCATGTTAGAGTTTTGTCATATCTTTGACCTTTAACTTTGAACAAATATTACTTAACAAAAAAATTATCAATGCTACTTTTCAAAAAGAGTATAATAACAATATTAGTAACTTGTCTAACTCCAAGGAACTACTCCATCACAACTCCGTGATAGTTTACATTTCTCATTACAATTAGCATATGCTTTTTGATGGAACTGTCACTTTATATCATACATGGTAGTTTTTGTCTAGATAGAGGGACACAAACTTTTTATTGAAATACTACTCCTAAATCAGCGGGACACTTGGCCCCAAAACAGAATTTGTCATCAAAATAGTGTAAAACTCAAACTCATACTCAGTATACAACAAAAGGGAAGTTACAGATTACTCCAAGTAACTTTGGAGTGAGCACGGCAGCATAGTTTTTGCTAAGGATGGTAATGGGGGCGGGGACCCGTGGCTAAGGATAGTTTTTGCTAAGGATGGGGCGGGGCTTGGGGCGGGGATGAGTGAAATATTTTTACGTCGTTAAAATATGGGGCGGGGACGGGTATTGCTACACCCGCCCCATCCCCGCCCCGTCCCCGTTATAAATATATACTCGAACATATATATACACATAAATAAATCATGTACACACATATTAAATTAAATTATTTGTAGTATATGACAAACGCATATACATACAAACATACATAATTATATACGGTTTAATCATGATTAATGAATTAATACATACTGTATTATACTAGAATAATAATAAGCTAGTGATGATTAAAAATATTTATCATAAATGTTACTCCGTATATGAGTTTTAACGTGTGTATAGGAGGATTTTTGTCTAAGCTATCCTAAGCTAGTGATGATTAAAAATATTTATTATAAATGTTACTCCGTATCATGTACACACATATTAAATTAAATTGTTTGTGTAAATAAATACACAAACATTTATATGTAATATAATATGTAATTAATTGTAGGTAAAACCCACATAAATAATCCCTACTTTTTAACATTATACAATAATAATCTATACTAAATGAATTGATAAAAATAATCTGAACTCTGAAACTTGTTCACAAAAGTAGATAAAGTAAACGTTACTCACGGTTCCGTTAGGATCTTATCTAATTGCCCACATCTCCGCAGAACAAAGCCTCTTCTTCCCAGGAATACTTTTGCCCTCTAATCTGTCATCTTCTTCACTATATATCTGGTTTCAAATAACTAAACAACCAACGAAGCATCCATCATACACGAACATCTGCTACTAACGAACAATTGAACAATAATCAAAACGAACATCATATAAATGACAATCATTAAATTAAATCACCTTAACCCGACCTAATACTAATAACCCGGCCTAATACTAATCTCTAGTCAGTTTATTGTGAATATAATTTAGAAATATTACTTACTGGACATTGGCCCTCTCTTTAATCACTATTTCATTTCAGTAACGTGTTTGTCCATTTCAAGATAATACATGAAGTGCTGATTGAGATATGATTAAGATGTAAACAAGAAAAAGGTTTTTTTTTTTAAAAACAGAGATGGAAGAAACATATGGTGACTGGTGAGGGATGAAGAGGAAGTTGAGTGGGAGATGAAGAGAACGTATGGGAAGTGGGTTGGGATGTATTTCAAACCGAATAATTAACCCCGTTTCATTTAATTTATTTTTGTGAACAAGTTTACATGTTTGGATTATTTCTATCAATTTGTTCAGTATGGATTATTAACGTAGAACCCTTAAAAGTACGGATTATTAGTATCAATTTCGCCTTAATTGTATTATAATTGTTGAGAATTTTGAAACAATGTACATGATGATAATATGTTTACTTATATTTTTTCTTTAATTGTATTCAATTCACAAAACTTATTCAAATTGAAGAATTATTAAAATTGGTGGTATTAACTTTTAACAAACACAATACTTCAGTGTTGCGTGTGTGGTTTGTGTGTGTATCATATATCACTGTGTGCACGTAGATATATATAGGCTTAGGATCAAATGAGAATAACGTTTAACATGAGAACGTGCGAACACCACATTTACCCCCAATGTGAAGCACAATGAGCTTGCACAATGCACTTTTTTGTATCTAGCATAATATTTACAAAAATGTCACCGTGATTATTTATATTAGCTTGTATTGAGCGAAGTCCAAATGTGCACTAGAATGACTCTATGGTGTATCACATTGGATTATTGTGTATCATATTGGATTAAACGTGAGTGTTCCCACGTTAAGCATCGTTTTCATTGGAATCGCACTACATATATTTATAATAAGAGATTAAAAGCATATGCAAATCTTACAAAAAAAAGTATATGCAAATACGATAAATTAAATTTATATGGAGGCACCTGTGGACACCCGTGGGGGACAATGGGGTGGGGCGGGGATGGGGCGGGTCTGGGAGTAACGGGGGATGGGGTGGGGATGGGAGGAACTTTTTAGACATGGGGTGGGGATGAGGGAGTGTACCCCGCCCCAAACCCGCCACATTGCCATCCCTACTTTTTGCTATTATAGCTTTCAAGTTCACCACATAAATAGTTTTTTTAATAAACCACATAAATAAATGGGTTAATAATCCACAAGATGATATTCCCCAAAATATTATACCCCGTACTTAATAATCCACATGAAATCTACAAAATATAATTGCTTGATAACAATTACTGCAAGTGCCTAGAGAGTTTTAATTAATCCAATGACGTCAAAAATACAAACACTCTACTGGCTACTGCTGCAATGTTAAGATCTATCTAAATAATTTTTCGATCTAATCATAGCAACAACAAAAAAGGACTAGCAACCTCCTTTATAATCTGTCAAACCCACCATTTTTTTGTAAACGTCATCACTAATCTCTACCATCCTCAAGACCTCAATTAATCATCAACAGGATCAATGGAGTGGAGATCTGTACGGCATACCCGTCTTCCTCTGGTTCTTCCTCATGTTCACCGCAACCGTCGCCGGACGAGGGGAGCACCGGAATGACGACGACAGACTGCTCCGCTTCTTCCTCACTATCTCCGCCGTCGCGGCTAGGCTAGCAAGTATACGGCGGCAGTCCATCAACCCGCCGCCGCCGGCGCTAACACTTGAAGCGGACTCTGCGCTGCTTGAAGCCGCCGGCTCGAGAACAGTCTCCGGCGTCATCTGGGCATCGTCCCCCGCCGCCGCCTCCGGCAACACCAGTGAATCCCAGTTGTTGCGGATGTAATCGGACAATTTCGCCCCTGTTTTCACCATGGGCTGAAGCTGAAAAAGATCGGGAACAAACACCCAAGAATTCAGCAACCGCATATTCCCTGCAGGAATTACTAGTTTTTGAGACAGGGGTTGAGGATTATGAGTTCCTATGGTCTGAAGATAGCATGAAACCTGGATTTATTGGTGCAAAATGAAGTGCTTTGGGAAAACTATCTTACACTCACTACCAATTTCAAATGAAATCACAAAAGAATTTGATTTCGCACAACATCTTTTGTTTAACATGCAACTGCTGAAGCCACTCATGAAATGGAAATCAGATAGTTATTCCTATTTCATTTACGAGCATTACGATATGCCATTTGGAGAACAACACATGAGAAAAGAGTATATGAAGTAAGTATACTTTAATTTTATATTTAGTTTTTTTCTTAATTTTTTTTTATATAATTAGTTGGATTTACAATTTTAAAAAATTTGAACAGGTTCTAATGAACAGGTTCTCAATGGACACCGATATTCCAATACGGAATGATTTCAAGAATCTGGGGCATAGGCTTGATATACTCTTTTCTCATGTGCTGTTCTCCAAATGGCATATCGTAATGCTCGTAAATGAAATATGAATAACTATCTGATTTCCATTTCATGAGTGGCTTCAGCAGTTGCGGGATGCTAAACAAATGATCCTGTGCGAAATCAAATTCTTCTGTGATTTCATTTGAAATTGGTAGTGCGTGTAAGATAGTTTTCCCAAAGAACTTCAATTTGCACCGATAAATCCAGGTTTCATGCTCTCTTCTGACGTACTCATAATCCTCAATCCCTGTCTCGAAAACTAGTAATTTCACAAAAGGACAGATAAAAGGAACAATATTAAGTGGTCCAAATAAACATGAACATAGAGTATTGTTTTATTTCAATCCCAGCTCTTGAAGAACGAAACACCCCTGCCTGCCAATGTATAGACAAAATGAAAACCATATAGAAGTTCATCACAATCTTATCTGAGGCATTGACAGTCTTTGTGGATTTGTGCTAGGAATGTGTTTGATCCTCGTCAAATGCGTATCTCAATACATGGTAGTGGATTATACATAAATAGGGAAAAGGGATGCAGGTAACAAAAACTCTTATCAGTTCTATCAGCTGAGGCTTGATATGGTAATAATCTTTGCTTACAATTATCTACCATATTTTTGCAGCATTGATCCAATTTATATAGATGACCCACTTTTTCCGACCAATAATGTGGGTCGGAATTGCTTTCGTATAAATCAATGCATCAAGGTTAGCTCATACACACCCTTTCAATTAGTTAATGATATTTTGATGCGAATTCTGTGATGTTAGCATGAATGGGTGAGTATATATTTCTCTATCTTCCTATTATCTCTCTCTTTCAAATATAGATGATTAGCTAGTTCTTCCTTATCTTGCCCCTTTGTACAAATGGGGCAAAATCTTATGGGCTCTAGTCTAGAGCAGTAGACCCACTTGAGTTCAATATGCAAGAGAGAATGTAAGGCGATCATTTTTTTTTATATTTTCGTTACTTTTGTAAATTTTGAATTAGTTAATTAATTTATAAATTTGAAGACTTGCGATGACGTAATGAGTTGTGGTTGGGGAAAGTGAAAATAAGCTGACGAGTTTCATTGATTGCTCCATGGGACAATGTGTCAGTGTTGGGCATGCCATGTGTGTTTTGTAATCTGTTAAGCAGTAAAACAAGATTGGAGATTGCATTTTAGCCAAAACCCATAGATTGCAACCAACCAGACCGCCTCTGTTTACACTCTCTTTCACCAACGGAAAGTTGGTAGGGGGGATATGTTCTTGAAGCATCTTAAAATCGATTTCCTACTTCGAAATATCTCTTCAGTGACAGATGAGAAACAAGATTTTCTAAAGTTGATCATATGTTCTCTTAAGTCATAACATGTTTTCCCTGCATACTTCTGTTGTAGGCATTTGCAGATGCTTATTGTACATTGGAGGATGAGATGTCTTCCCTTCCAAGCAATGGTGACACATGCAAGATTACCTTCACTTAAGCTACTTCCTAAAATTATTCCAAGCATTATGCATTTGGATGGTCCGATGGATTCCAATTATCAAGAGATTAACCATATTCCATGTTGTTGAGATGTGTGGGGTTGGTGAAATAGCTTGCAATGTTTTTGAGGTAGACATGAGTGTGTTTCATTTAAGACTTATAATGAAACTGTCCTACTCTGTAAGAACTTATGGCATCTGATTAAGTCTGAAATATGAAGTCTGATGAAACTAGCAAAAACTAGACACTTTGTATTTTTTCTTATCTGCTCTAATAATTATTTAAAGGGCCAGAGTCATTAATTTTCACTTCATGTTATGACCTTCGCAATTGATGTATGTTTGACAGCATATTGGAGTTGTGGTTGGTTGACCTCCACAGATCACAGATAACCCTTCATGTATTGATTGCAAATGGATGATAGCTGTAACATCTTCAAACTGTAGTTGGAAGTAAAATGCAACTCCAAGAAATTATTCTGTGCTTCTAGACACTCTCAAGCCATCCGTTGGTACTTCGTATTCCCTGCACAACCAAATTATAGATCTTAGAAGAATAGTCACTTTACTGGCTAATTTGAAATTATAAGTTGTCATTCCTTAATCTAAATTTTTATGTTTGTATCAACAAAAGATGTTTCCATGCTAGTTGCAGCCATGCTATTTATCTGCCTTTTTTAAAGCTAAGCTTTCTATGGGCTCACTCTTACCTGATGTTATCATTTACTCTGATGGAACAACGTTATGGCTCCACCTATGTAACTTTTTGATCTATCAAATCAAGTGATTATACTCTTTATGAGTTACGACTTACGAATGTCAAAAATAAATGAGACATTCCTGCGGTATTTAGCCTTTTAAGGTAGTAGACATGAAATTCTGAACTTTTTACATAGAACTTGGAACTGAAAATGAAAACACTTCAGTTCATTTGTAGTCAGACTTGGGATTATTAAAAAGTGAGTAAGATACAGTTGAGAATTACTGATACTTTCAGCTCCCTTATTAGTCTATCAATTGCTCACCGCACAAATTTGTCAGAGTATGCCTTTTTATTTTGCCCAGATCCTATGGCATCTTGGGACAAAGTACCGCCAATCTGCTCACAACTTGAATTCTAGTACGAAGTATTTCACTATTTCATGGCTTAAAGGATTTTAACAATGAACATGCTTTAGTGATTGACCTTTATGCAAGGCTATAAACAGCACAAAAAACTCTTGTATTCATATCTTTGGTTTCGCTTTTGCTAATTGGAATCAAATTGACTCTCTCTCTCTCTCTACATTCTAGGTGAAAAGGATGATCTCAAAAAAGTTCTACGTAGTAATGAAAATTTTTGTCTTAGGTTTTCTGGATTTTGGGTCTTAACGAGTTGAGCATATCACATATTGGATTTGCTCCTACCTGAAAGGTCAGTGAAAGCTACCCTTTCTAGGATTCATGGTTGAAGTAACTTGGTATTGAAGTGTTGGTGAAGGGTCCTCCAAGAGTTGAATCCCGAATTGCTTGGCAAGTTCACATAAAAAAAATAGGCTATTATTCTTTTTTATTTTCCATCATTTGCAATGGAGCCAAAGATTCATTTTTTTTTTGCTTGAGAATATGATGAAATAAAGCAAAATGGCTCACCAAACTGTCTGCTCTTTCTTTGTTATGAAGCAGCAGTCAGTCCATGCAATTTTGGAAGCGATTTTCATTATGGGTCATTCGGAAACAGTCTCTTTGTGCTTTAGTATAAAGGTAAGACTGCGTACATCCGACCCCCCTTACCCCACCGTAGGTGGGAGCCTTTGCGGCACTGGGGTAAATGATGATTGATATTCTTAAAATTTTAAAATTCATTTTTTTAAATTATATCCCTCCTATTTAACTCGTACTTGATTTTTGTAGTTGCGGGATACATCAATAAGCTATTATTCTTTCTTAAATTTAAAATATATTTGTTTTTAACTATGTCTCTTATATCTAACTTGTATTTGATTTGTGTAGTTGTGACTTGTGACTTGTGAGATACATGAAGAATCAGTTTGATTCGATCAAAATGCAATATTTATAGAAAAAAATATTTTCTTTTGAATATGGCTTTTTGCTGTAAACATGGATGAACTTGCACATAGTGACATAGAGGAACTAATACTTATGGGAAAAACTAGTTTTTCGCTCTAACCTTAAAGCTCTTTGAATTACTTCGGTATGCAAGTATACCAAGCTGTGGGCATTGTAGCCGTGGGCATATCCAGGGAGCCCAGGGCCCCCAATTTTTTTTTTTTTTTTAAATTTCATATAGATTTTCTAATGGCAGTTTTTTGTCTTATTATTATAATTACTTTGTAGCTATTCAGGTGGTGTAGTGAAGCTGGAATACATCGATGTGGCAATAAGAGATATCTGTATACAAGGTGGTCTGTCGCCTGTGCATAATGTCATTTTACATGGGAATATCCTATAATTGATATTTGTAACTTTCTTCATTGTTGTGCATAGAAACCCGAATATCAAATATATATATATTGAGTGCTAATGGTCAGGTAACGGGATACTCTGGATGTATTAATAGACTAATAGTGCACTGTAAAAGGTTTTATGAAGGCCAGATAGGTGAAGACATATCTTAAACATTGGTAAATTTAAGGCTTGAATTTAGTGGAGTTCAGCACTTTGCATCCTATGTTTCATTCTACTTGCAGCTGTAGAGACTACGTCATCACCCTGCCATTGTGCATTTTGCTTTGAATGGATTGGATTGAAATCAATATTTTAAAACTTCACCCTGTCATTGTGCATTTTGCTTTGAATGGATTGGATTGAAATTAATATTTTAAAACTTCTTAAATCGTTCTTAGTCAGAAAAGGGCTCACACATAAAAATGTCCTCCTGCCTTCTCACATTGGTAGGTAGCTTTTCCCACTTTCTCATTATCACATAGTCACATTGGTAGGCTACGTTTGGCACAATGAGCTTGAACTGGAGGTTAAAGTCTGAATTAGGGGCTATTGTCTGAACCAAAGAGCTGAACATTGAAGTGCTGAATCTGAACCGTTAACTGAATGGAGTAAATCCGTTTGGCAAAAAGAACTGAAAAATGCAGAGATAATATGAAATTACCATAAAGGGCATAAGATTTATTATTAGAATAAAATATTTATTATATTTTATTAATACGAAGTATATGTATGCGTGTGTAATATTTGTCAATTTATACATGTATATAATATGATATAATAAAATATGATTTTATATAAATTATACTCTTTACTCCGTAATATACTACGTATATATATGAGGAAATTAAAGAACAATCTAGAGAAATTTTATTAGGAGCACATCATCCTCTCTGCAAATTGGTCGTAGATATTTTCCAAATTGTGATTATCACTTTCTTCAAGCAAAAAAGAATCCGTTTTTTAATGATGGAGTACGAGCAACATAAGAGTGACGGTATGGATATTCTTGGATTGCGAAAGTCTGTTATCAATGGGCTGAACGAAACGCTACCCATGTTAACGTTTGATTTCAGTTAAATAATTTTAGCTCAAGCTTAAATCAGTCTTTCTCCCAAACGAGTTTAATGATATTACAATTAGCTGATATTGGAAAATTTCAGCCGATTATGGGCTGAAATGGTGTGCCAAACATAGCCTAAACCCACAGTAATAATATGGGAGTCGGGAACTTGTTAGAGACTTAGAGGTCAGTTTTTTAATCTGTGATCTGGACCAGCTCTTTACTTGGGAACCAGAATGGCACTAAAAAGTCCAAACTGTTTCAAGTTGGGAGACGATTGGTTTATTTCCAATTTTTGAGAAATAAGCCGAAGAACCAAAATTGACCTGAAATTAGAAATTGGTCAGCCAAACTTGGCTATAGTTACGGTTGTGCCGTTGCGGCGTGACAAATAGAGGGACCAAAATATTTGTTTCCTGTTTTGATTCTATCGTGTGTGTAGGAAAAAGATCAGGTCCGAACGTTCGGACAGGACCCTCCGTCCGAACATCCTCGTTTGGGGTCTTTCCCGGTGGAATTTTTTGATGAAATTTTTTGAGCATGTTCCTCATCAAGTCTAGTTTGTCCATACCAAATTTCAGCTCAAATTTCAACCGGGAAGACATTCAAATCATTTTTTGAAGTTGAGTGCGTTTTTATATGTATATTTTGATGCAGTCAACTTCAAAAAATTATTTGAATGCCTTCCCGATCGAATTTTGAGCTGAAATTTGGTATGGACAAACTAGACTTGATGAGGAACATGCTCAAAAAATTTCATCAACAATTTCCACCGGGAAGTGGCCCAAACGTCCATATTCAGACGGTGCTCGGACGGGGAATGTTCGGACCTGAACATTCCTCTCTCTTTCTCTCTATATATATACAACACACATATGGTACACACGGGTTTTCATAACGTCTCTATCAGCTTCATTACTAAATATCGCGTATATTTAGTAATATCATTTGTAGTTGTATGTATAGATTTTGGTTTGAACACAAAGTGTTTCTTGTAAAAAATAAAAACTAATTTTGACCATTCATGTGAAAAATGAGTGAAAGTGATCAATTTTAAGTTAAAAAATGATGTCATCTTAGTAATTATGAAGAATCATAATGAAAATATTGTATTAAGAGTGTTTCAAAATATACAAAAAGTGTATATGTATAGAACCAAAGTACATCGTATTGCAAAATAAATAATTTGTGCACAAGTTCAAAAGAATTCATTATTTATTTAACAATCATGAGTTGCACTTTTACCTTTTAATGATCCACTTTGTATTACTCCACGGTGTATTTTGATTAAAGAATCCATCTAATTCATCTGTTCTCAATATAGGGTATGATTAAATTGAGAATCGTTCTTCCCGTGAAAAATCATAACAATTGAAACAATTATAAATCTGGTTCATGACGATGCACATTTATAGTTAAGATAATACTCACTTTAAATTATGAGAAAAGTGTATAATTATCCCCTTGTTTTAAAACTTTAAGGTGACAACTGAGGTTGTTTCCCGTTATATTTTTTTATTATTGGAAGTCCAACCAATTCATGTTATTAGTTATACTTATTCTTAACTCACTCATAGTTCTTTTTATTGTAGATGCAGTACTTGTTGGTACGAAATAAGCTACAGAGAAATAACAACAATAATTTTGTATGTTGAAAATAGCTTAGGATTACAAGAGTGTTGATGACCTTTTTATAGGTGTTTACAATATGCCCGTTAAATAAATTGTAATTGGGCTTGACCCAATTAATGAACCAACACTAATGTTAATGGGTCAGGCAACCCGATGAGTAAGTAAATAATCTTGGGCTGATCTACATTAGCTGGGTCATATCACCACTAGGATTTAAGTCATTTAATGGCTTGATGCATGATCGTGGAGGTAGCACCAGCAGTGGATTTCACTTCATCCTTAGTGCCGTCCAATGATCGGGAGATCTTATCATTCATTGGTCTCCAGCCCTTAATTACCCAGCTTTGTTCCCATCTGCTAGCCTTGTTTTTTTTTTCAACCATTCTTGGTGTACACGTTTTTATACCCATCAGTACACGCATGTGTCTGTGAGAGTTTTTTTTTGTCTGTGAAACGCGGTCCACAGACATAAGTTGACTTGTTTTGTCTGTGGAAAATTTCACAGACAAAACAAACCAGCTTTTGTCTGTGGACCGCGCTTCATAGACAAAAAAAAACTCTCACAGACACATGGGTGTACTGATGGGTACAAAAACGTGTACAAAAGGAATTTTTTTTTTTTTACCTAACTTCCTTACTAAACTTGTTTTTTGGATCAAGTTGACTACATTTTGTACCGCTAACAAGAAGAAAGAGGAGCTCCAGCGAAAGAGGGATGTTCCCCAATGTAAGCCGGTCGAGGCGCAATAGCGGGTGAACAAATTAAAGAGAAATTGCATTGAAGACTCTTCCCAATCACTTTTGTGAAACAGATAAATAGTTGGAATTATTATTGACAATTTTTTCAATTGGAACTATTTTTATAAGATGTGTAAAAGCATGAATTATCTGTGTCAATTCCGCGCACAATAATTGACAAGTGAGTTTAGTGACGGATTCAGAAGTTTTCTTAAGGAGGGCACTGGCGCACGGGTGGGAACGCGTTTTGTCGGTTCGGGATTGAGTGGTCATTAGTCTATTATGTCTAGTCCGTGCAGATTATTCAATGTCGGGTTCAGGTAATGTACATTTATGAATTAAAAGTCCAGTTTTGAACTCATTAAGAGAATTCTAAGCAGCAAAAAACTTTTTAATAGAAAGACATATTACTTTCGTCCCATTTTATTTAGCCATCTTTAACTGTTCCAATGAAAGATGAGGAACTTTGACCATTCATTTTAATTAATGCATTTATGCAAAATTTAATAATTTTATACTTTTATAATATTATTTTTAACAAATATCATTTTTATATTATCAATACTTCTGTATATAAATATATAATTAGTCAATGTTAGATAACATTGACTTGAAAAGTCAAATTTGGCTATCTAAAATGGGACGGAGGGAGCATTTTGGATTAGAAATGAATCGTCCTTGGACCATTTCTGATTTTGGATTAGAATTTTCATTATTTTTTATGCCATAAAATGGTCACGATTTCAGTTCTAAACCAAAATCATGATGTCTAATGCTAAACGCCGTGCCACAAAATTTGTTGTAATATAGAAGTATAATATTACCATGTCCAACTTTTATCATACTATTATAAAAAATCAAAGCGTTTGGCATTACTTTATCACGAAACACATTGTTTGTCAAGATCTTGAGATATTTCTTCGTGGCTAACAACTTTTGCACAATTTTAGCTCAAATTTGATAAGAATTTACTACTTCATGCAAAATTCTTGACAAAAGTAATTGCAATTAGTGAGAACAACATTGAATGTATATTGTGAATGAATTTTTACTCAAGATAAGAGCCTTCAATCCATAATGGTCATCCGGCATGTTAGAGTTTTCTCATATCTTTGACCTTTAACTTTGGACAAATATAATTTATACTTAACAAAAAAATTATCAATGCCACTTTTCAAAGAAAGTATAGTACAATATTAGTAACATGTCTAACTCCAAAAAACTACTTCATCACAACTCCGTGATATATTTCTCATTACCATTAGCATATGCTTTTTGACGGAACTATCGCTTGGTATGATACAGAGTAGTTTCAGTTGAGATAGAGAGACACAAGCTTTATATTGAAATACTAATCTCAATTTTCGGGGTCGGAAGCGGGACACTTACCCCAAAACACAATTTGTCATCAAAATAGTGTAAAAGTCAAACTCATACAACAAAAGGGAAGATACAGATTTACTACAATTAACTTTGAGTGAGCACGGCAGCATAGTTTTTGCTATGAGCCTATGCTAGCTTTCAACTTCACCTCATAAATGTTTTTTTTTAATAAACCACATAAATGGGTTAATAATCCACATTAAATCTTCCTTTAAAAAAAACCACATTAAATCTACAAAAATATAATTCCTTCATAACAATTACTGCGTGTGCCAAGAGAGTTTTTAATTAATTCAATGACGTCAAAAATACAATCTACTGGCTACTGCTGCAATGTTAAGATCTATCTAATTAATTTTTCGATCTAATCATAGCAACAACAAAAAAAGGATTAGCAAT